ACTGGGGTTACACCCTGCGTTAGCTCAAAGGTCCTGAAAGAAACCCAGGATTTCTGTGTCCTGGGTCAGTTGCTATCTCGGCTCGTTTATCATCCCTATGAAGAACTATTATCATATTGGGATAAAAATAATGGAAACTACTGAACTAAAAGAGAGCCCCTAAGTATCACGCTCTCTGTCCTCTTAGGCTTAGGATTGGGAGCAGCTGGGGCAGCTACAGGAGCCTCAGCTCTAGTTATTCAGCACCAGAATTACCAAAGTTTGCAGGCAGCCATAGATGCTGATATTAAAGAAGTAAAAAATTCAATTACTAAGTTACAAGAGTCCCTCACCTCTCTTTCTGAGGTGGTCCTGCAAAACAGAAGGGGGCTGGACCTCTTGTTCCTTCAGCAGGGTGGACTCTGCGCTGCGCTAAAAGAAGAATGTTGTTTTTACATTAATCATTCAGGGGTAGTTAAAGACTCCATGGCCAAAATTAGGGAAGGCTTGGCCAAAAAAAAAAAAAAAAAAAAGAAAAAGAAAAAAAAAGAAAGAGATCAAAATCAGGGATGGTTTGAGTCATGGTTCAAACTCGTCCCCATGGCTCACGAGGGCTTACGACCCTCGTGTCTACCTTGCTAGGACCATTAGTTATTTTAGTGTTACTTCTAACCTTTGGTCCCTGCATTTTAAATCACTTAGTAGCTTTTGTTAGAGAACGTGTTAGTACTGTCCAAATTATGATGTTAAGGCAACAATATCAGGAAATAAACCAACAAGAGACAAGTATTTCATGATTGAAATACGCACAAGAAAAAGGGGAGACTGTAAAAGAAAATATAACTTTAACATACACAATTTGCTTTTGTAAAAATGCTTGCTAAAAACGGGAAAACATAACTAATGACATTTTAAGTAAAGCAGCTTCTAAGGGGCTATTGAGAGGTCAGGCGGCACCTGGCACACTAAATTCCAGGAAGGGAATGAACACCTCCCGGTTCCAGGAACTGACCAGTTCCTTATCTAGAGGCCACCTGGCCAGACCCCAGGGAAGATAAATGATTGAGAAATGCGCTGTTCCTTACTGGGGTACCAGCTCACTAAAGCCTACCCGTAAATCTAAAGGCGCCTCAGATATCCAACAACTCATCCTGTCACAAAAGTCTGTCTAAAAAACTGTATAAAAAGTACTGTATAAAAAATGCTTGTGTTAAGAGCTCAGGGCCACTTCGGTCCTGAAGATGAAGCAACCCCAGCATGCTGGAATAAACTCCTCTTGCTTAATTGCAACGGTCTCTATCTCATGGTCTTTGTGAAGTGAGCCATTCCGCTGTGTGGGATTTGTGCGCGGTGCACAGATCTTACAGTTTTGTTTTCTAGATCTACGAAAATCTTTTAAGGTATAACAGCTTGCTAAAGTATATGTTTATGAACAAAAATTAAAACACCTTTCACTCTACTTAAAAAAAAAAACTTCACAAGTTGTTTTATGGCAATACAGTTATTTGCATAAGTTCAATAAGAATCTGTTCTTTTTGTAACAGGACACAATCGGAAATACTTGTTATTTTAACAAGGCTTTGACTGGAATATCATACCTTCAGACATGACCAGACTGCCTTAAGGAATTAAGGTTGACCCTTTTATGGAGCCAATAAAAAGCCCCTGGAGAGACTGGCTTGATACCTTGTCTACATAATTGCAAGGTTCCTGGTCTTCCAGTAAGTAAAGAATGTAACTTTCTGACAGGCCAGAACCTTGATAGTTTGGGGACTTCCAGAAGAGAGGAATTCACCCAACTCACACAGGTAATCAGAGAGTAAGTCAAATCCTTGGCTTGGCTTCCTAAGACCCGAGTGGCATTTAAAGGTCTAATCTGAGAATCCTTATGAATGTCCCAGCAAAGCCAACTCAAAAAAAAAAAGAGAGAGAGCTTATATGATAAGCCATTACTCTTGCTGCACTTTATGCAAATAATCTGGCCAAAAACTAAACTTATTTTTGCAAATAAATTTGTCTTGTCATAGATACCTTTGATAAATTTGAAAAACTTGGAGAAAAAATTATTTTTCAAAAAGAAACACTAACACACCTGTTATCCGATTCTAGCTCTGTGCTTTTAATCTGTTTGTAAAGTGTGTATCTTCCAGGCTACAGTTCCACGTCAAGACGGTGATGACCCAAGGATTCCAACCCAACCTTTCCTGAGAGGAACTAAGTCTCTATAAATCACTAAATCAGCCAATGAGAGATTTTATACCTCCAAAATGCAGGCAGGGACGACGCCCATGGTCCGCAGGAAGCAGTTTCAGAAGAAAGAGACCTCCAGCCCCTTTTACCTTAAGAATAAGGAGGATATAATCTCTCAGGGGGGAATGAAACAATAAGGCTAGGCCTGTGAACCAAACTGTTAGGTCTCTGAATCTGACTGAAATCACCAAAGACAGACTCTGCCCATGGGGATGAAAGCCCAAACTTACGCTTGGTCGTGTGCAAAAACAAAGCCTATATATAAAAACTCCAATATGATCAAATCCCAGTAGAGGATTGGGGACACATAAATTGGGAACCAGATATTGACCTGTAAGCAAAGATTCGCTTAAAAAAATCCCCTTAAAACCAGTGGGGAATGAAGTAATGTCCTTTTTCTGAGAGCAGGACTGATGCCATTTAAAATAACCCCTCCATTTTGTATAAACTCAGGTGGGAAAAACCCAGGCAGGGAAAATGTGGGAGGGGCTGGGAGGAGCCATGCTAACTGCAAAATTAGCTTATGTACTGTTGGCTTCCTTGCATTGGCTAATAACCCCTAGTGCGGTGACTGGGCAACTGAGTTGCCACGCTTGCAGCTTTAAAAACTGAAGGTAAAAACGGCTTGCCGCCACACTCTGAATTGGCTGGTGCTGTACTGGCAGCCAGCAATAAAGTTTTTTTTCCTTTTCCATATCGGTTTCCAAGGGTAATTTCTCCCAATGCTTATAACATAATAAATATATTTTGTTTTATTTTCGTTTCTTAATATATGGAAATTTCATCTGAAGACTTGACTGCAGAGATAACAGATAACAATATTAAGATTACAAGAAATTCATTGCACTGCTTTTCACATGTAATAAAGATTATATCAACTCAATGGCTTACCTAAGCTTTTAATTGAACACAAATATTTTATCGACAAGTTAGAATTTAGATACTATGACTGGAGAAAACGATTTTCATAGAAGTCTACACTCTTAGTCTAAGGGATGAGAAATTTATTTCAAAGTTATATAAATAAGCAGCAAAGAAACAGAACTTCTAGAAGCAGTAGTGGTTTCAAATGAGAAGAAATGAAAAGGAATAGAAAGATAATATTTAGATAGAAAACACTTATAAGTGTCATGAAAAAAATCTATTTCCAAAGCTAGGAAATAATGTTGTAGGTCCTATGAGACTTGCATGAAAAATAATTAGATAAGCAAACATCCTTAAGAAGGAACGAAAGGAAGTGGCTAGGGTATTTCAAATCTAAGAAATACAAATGTATTAAAATATCTGCAGACTGTGTCCCTTTTTGGTAAACAGTAGACAGGATTTTAAGACCAGACAATGCCTGGACCTATGCACACCTGTGCTCCTGGTCAGGGTAACTTTCCAAGGGCAGGCGTCACACTCGTCTGTGAGTACATGCGTGGGCTTATTTTGTTTCTAAAGGCAGCAACAACTGGAAGGATGTGGTGAACAGGCATGAACATTTCCTAAGAGGACCAAGTACCTCCAGAGTCTCAGGGTGGCGGGAGGGAAGTGAACAGTCCCACCTGCATGCACTTCTCGTGGACAGGTGGGGAGCTCAAGGTTTTGGGGAGACGGCTGCTTAGTGGAGGGCTTGTCTTCTAACCCTAACCTAGAATTCTTTCCACTTTCAATACCCTGGCCGTTCCTCTCCCCATGGGTGTAGCTTAGTACAATCTTGAGCTTAAATTTTCAATTCTTGAATTATCTGAAAATTCTTCCTTGAAAAGAATTACTCTGACCTTGGATTCATTTAAAATGATCTTTACAAACAAAAGCTCCTTGATGTTCACAGATAAAGAACAACAATGCACCATTCATTAGTGGCATCATAAATTAGGCTTCCTGCCTTACTGCACCGAGAACCGCCTGTCTTCATATGAGTGCCAGAAAAACTCTGCACTGAAGCCTGGCAAAACGAAATGAAAAGGGTGACACGACAGACGACCCAGAGCCACACACGCAGTCGCGCCCCAGGCAGAGCCCTCCAAGCAGGGTTAATTCTCCCATCAGGAAGGCAGGAAATTTGTTTCTACTTCCTTTTCTGTACAAACACTTCTGAGGACTAAGAGAAGAAATAGTTGAAAACTTTACTTCTGATTAGTTTTTAATTAGAAAATAATTTCTGAAATAATAACTGTAATAACAAATAATAATAAATAGTAACTGTTAAACAACATGTTTTCAAAGACTACTTAATGATATGGAAAAGGATCCTCAGAATCTAGTGCTAAGTAAAAAAAAGTAGGATGCAGTAAGATTCTAAGTTCTTAAAAAAAGAAATCGACTATGCCTCACTATACATAGATGAAAAGATAGGACTGAAATTCACAAAGCCGTTAATAATAATTGTTTTGGGCCATGGAATCAGGCACAACTTCTGAAAATAAGCCAGCAAAAGCTTTTTACATCATTCGGGGGGAGGCCACTGAAAAGAGCATTTTCCCCTTATTTCAAGCGAGGTCTGGTCCCTGTGGGCCACTCTCTCCTTGCAGGTAAGACTGGGCAATGTCATTCTGAGGATCTTGCTCTGAAGGAGGGCGCTGTCAGGACTTCACATTCAGACACTGCATGTTTTTCTCTCCACATTTTTTCTAGAGGAAGCAAACTTGTCTTGAAACCAAGTTAACTTAGCACCAGGTCAGTAGAATTTAACATCTGAACTCTGAAGTCTGGCACTGATATGGAAGATCTATATTATAAAGACACGTTTTACTGATTTCTTCTGAAGATGCAGGTGGTGAACTTACCTGGAGGATGACTAGTATCTTCTCCACTGGTCATGCTCATATTGTCTGTTTCCTGTACCAGATAGGGGTGAGAACCAAATTAAGAATGATGTCTCTCTAAATATTCAAGCCAAAAACTGCACATTTCTAAGTATGTACAAAAACAGCGTGCTGAGTTGTATCTGGGGGACAGAACGGTATTCTCTTTTCAGTTGTGGCCACCTGTCGTTAAAGTTTTGTTCTATAATTATTCCATTAAAGTGGAAGCAATTAATTAAGAGGTAGCGTAGCTAGTGGAAGGAAACTGTCAAAACTGTTCCTCTTAACACCAGTCCCGGCCATCTGCATGACATCTAGACATTTATTACTGCTAATGACTTCTGGAAGTGGAAATCCACATGCAGATGGCTCACAGTGGATGTGCTGCCAAGTGCAGAAAAAGCCCTGTGTGGCTCTTCTGCGGTTGAGCCCAGAGCTCCCCTTCCCTGCCCATGGCACAGTCGGCCACTTTTTGCCTTTCCAATAGATGGGAATATGGGAAAGAGACTCAGAGCAGAACCACCTTACTAGTAGAAAGGTGACAGTTTTTCATATTTTAAAAATAACACTTTTGTACAAATTTCTCCCTGCTCTTAGTTTTCTTCTAGCATAGAGAAGCATGTGCCTTTCACACACTTGACTGGTCACTGTGCCTCTCCTGGGACCCCCCAGAAGTGTGAGCTCTGGGCTGTAGCAGGAAGCAGTGAGAGGGGAGGGCTGTTCTACTGCACGGGGACTTCCACTGTGCTTGTTGTCACTGCCCTACCCTTGTGGGACCCCCCAGAAGTGTGAGCTCTGGGCTGTAGCAGGAAGCAGTGAGAGAGGAGGGCTGTTCTACTGCACGGGGACTTCCACTGTGCTTGTTGTCACTGCCCTACCCTTGTGACCACAGGTGACCAGTAACCACTCAGACCTCCTACTGAACCAACGCAGGGAAGTGATGATCTGAAGAAATCACAGGCAAATCTGTAGCTACTGCCTGCAGAATTTAGCACATCCTTTCTCACCACTGGGCTGAGCCACAGCAAGGAAGAGGTTGAAGCTCTGCCGTTTGTCCTCAGGGCAGCTTTGATGCTGACCCTGGCGGCCTGTGTCCCTCTGACACCTCACTCTCCCACCCTCCCCACCTGTCCACACAGTCCAGTTAGGCCAGGGTCAGGATCTGAAACTTGCCAAGTTTTTGGCAGGAACTAAATACTTTTGAATATATTTTTAAACTAAATACATTTTAAAACTAAATACGTTTTTAGTTTTTTTACTAACACAAGGAATTTTGCCTGTCAACTCTGTCCTGGAAACAGTGATAACTTTCTACTTGGACTACTTTAATACCTCTAAGAAATACAGAAATGGGAGTTAAAGGTAGGCAAAACCCAGCAAAAATGTGCTGGCCTAAAATTCAACTACAGTAACTAAAACTGAAAACGAAGTGGATTATTTGATCTAGAAAAATATATTCCAGTCCTGATGAAAGACTGACTCTGTGCTATGTGTGTAACACCTACTTTATAGAGAAACATCTGAAATTAGAAAACACACTTGCACCACCAGCAGCATTTTTGTACACGTAAGGCAAAATGCAAATGAAACACACTCTCCTGGCTTCTATGCCATCTACACAGCCTTTTTTTTCCTTTTCGTCTTTTTTCGTGTCCGGCAATGGATCGCAACCCTCAGTGTCGCGCCCTTACCGGACAAGGACCGGCAACGGGATTGCAGCCCTCAGTGTTGCACCCATACCTCGCTCAGCCAGTGAGCGGGAACCGGTCTGTATGTGGGATCTGAACCCTCGGCGGGAGCGCCGCCGCGCTCCCAAGTGGCGCACTGTAGCAGTGCGCCACTGGGCTGGCCCTACACAGCCTTTTAATTTCTCCCATTCTCATCCTTAAACTCCTTTTTAAAAAAGTTTTATTAATATTATTCTTTTACATTCTATGATGTTGTTGTGGAGCAGTTGAGACTACACAGCCTTTTAATTTCTCCCATTCTCATCCTTAAACTCCTTTTAAAAAAAGTTTTATTAATATTATTCTTTTACATTCTATGATGTTGTTGTGGAGCAGTTGAGAGGGAGGGGGAGGGGAAAGGGGAAGGAAAGGTGAGCGAAGGAGGAGGGGTGGGACTGAGGCCTGTAGTACCCCCTCATTCCCACAGGGGAGACCGGGGGTCTTCCAGCAGTGGCTTGGTCATTGCTAGGCTGGGTGCACATGTTAGGGGGCTGTGGAAAAAGCCCTTGCCCCCCACCACCCCAGTTCGGGGACCCAGGGCCCTTCTTGCTGTGGCTTGGTGGTTGCTGCTGGGATGGCTGCATGTGTTGGGGGTGTGTGGCTGAGGCCCTCGGCCCCCCACCACCCCGGCTTGGGAGAGCCTGGGGTGCTTCCTGCAGTGGCTCAGTGGTCATCACTGGGCTGGTTATGGGTGTTAGGGAGCATGGCGAGGCCCTCAGACCCCCACTGCCCCGGCTTGGGAGAGCCTGGGGCACTTCCTGTGACAGGTCAGTGGTCCTTGCTGGTGTGGTTGTGTGTGTCAGGGGTGTGTGGCTGAGGCCCTCAGCTATGCTGGTGACCAAGTGGATGCGGGGCTTGAGCTTACACTGCATTGGAGATGGTAAGAGGGCAGAAGTTTCTAAGTAGCTCCAAACTGGCCACCTAGAAGCTCCAGACAAGAGTCAGTAGCATGATTTGGTAGAACAGAGTCCCTGTAGGCTAAGCTCGTTCAAGGAAATGTCTAAAGCAAATATAAACTTACAGAGCTGTAAATATAAACTTACGGAGCTTTTCTCTCTCTCCAGGGATGGGCATTTCAAAAATATTCATCATAAACTCTGATCTACTCTGAACTACAGAGGGGACTCCCGTGTCTGCTAAATGTGTGGTTCAAGAGGATGAGAGAAAAGGACTTGGCACCCAACAGACCTCAGCCTATGTAGCCTCCTGACAAATGATGACCTCAAGAGCTCACAGAGACACATCCCAAAATGCCAACTAGGTTAATGCTGAAAACCTGCTGTGCTTTAGGTAATAATGTGAGCAACTTTTTAAGTCTGTACACATTTTAGAGGTTACAAAAGTAAAAAATATCATGAATTAAATTAAAGGTGTGTTTGTATTTGAAACAACAGAATTATAAATCTTATATAATTTCAAAGTCTATAAAGTTTGGCTCTCAAAACTGTAAGAAATATGAGTTTAAACACCAATGTGAAGTCCTCTGTGTGTGTGGCCACTGCCCTCTTACCTGGTCCCTGGTCTCTCCATGGCTGTCCCTGGCCAGAACGGCTGTACCCAGAGCTTGTCCTGTGGGAGCCAGGGCTCTGCCTTCCCCATCGCCCTGTGGGAATATGTGATCAGCACATTAGTAAGTTATGTTTAAGAGTGTAGCAAGCTTTCAAACTTTTAGAGTTCTTAAAACTACAGGGAGAGCTCATGAAAAATACAAATTTAGGGGATTTAGCACCAGAGTATGTGGCTAAGGAGTAAGAGCTACAAATCTGCATTTTAAAAACATACTCCATGAGAATCTTGTACTGGTGATAAGAGGGGGAGACTGCAAATCCCAGCAGTGCTGCCACCTGAACGGCTGGCATCCAACTGCCTGCAGGTTTCTGTGCTGCTGGGCAGTGCTTGCTGACAAGCTCAATGAGGAATGAGAGGCCTGCGGTGCTGTGTGTACAGTGTGGACTTCTGAGTACCAGGCTGCCAACCAATGGAGGGGACAGGCAATGCAGACAGAATGTTGTGCGTTTACTTTGCACAGAATAAATTTTTGCTCTGGTCTCTCAGATTCTTTCAATGCACAATTGGAAGGATAAAGTTAAAAGATGGAGAAAAGGGTTAGTAACTGGGGAAAAGCAGCCTTCTTCTTGCAGGGTGGGAATCGCCATACACCCCAGCTGTTCTCGATCCTATGCACAACCCTGGGTGAGGCCAGGACACAGGGGGCCTCCTACCCTCAGGACACAAAGCCTCCGAGTTGACACCAAGTAGGACTCTTAAGATAGTTTGGGTGGGTAGAAAATTGGGGTAAATTCTTTTATTTCATCAAGAAAAATAATAGGGTTGCTATAGTTACAGAAACAGATACTAACCAAAGGAGGACATGAAAAAATAATTAAAAGAATCTCATTAACAAAATAAACCAGTAAGATATCCAACTTCACTGATAAAAAAAGAAGCATCCAATGAGATATACTCCTTCGTCTATCAAATTGGTTAAAAAACAAAACAAAACAAACAAAAACCAACTTTTAAATTCTGTCAAAGGCACCACAGACCAGAGACTCAACTTAATCAGAGAACAACTTAATCATTGCTAGTGAAGGTGCAACGGGACAAAAAGGTTATTAAAAATAAGTTGGCAACACTGATCTAAAATGAGATACATTTTGATCTATAATTCTGTAAATCATCATACTTTATTTTAAAATAAGGCACATAAAGTCATCATGAATAATGAGAAAACATGGAAACAACCTCAGAGCTCAAAACAGGGAAACTGTGACGCCAACGTGCACTACCCAGGGGTAGAAGAGGCCGTGGCCACGGCAGAGGTGTGTTCGAATGTGACCGTGATACTGCTACGAAGAGAACAGGAAACAAAACTGCATAAAGTGTGAATTGTGATGAGACAGAAGCATGGAAAAATATTGCAAAAGTACGTTATCTGTCAACACTTGTCATCTTTAGGTGACCGAATTACAGGTAATCTATATTTCCTTTTAAATTATTTTCTTTATACTCTAAATTTTTTTAATACACTTCTATTATGAGAAGAAATAAACTCTTGTCAAATGAACCAACACTCCCCAAATGGCCTCTATACTTCGGGGCATCCTGGAAAGGAGAGTGTGCACCCAGAGAAAGAGTTCTTGATTACTGGATTACCGGGTGAATCCTTACTGAACATCTTTTTCCTAATGGGACCAGAATGCAAACCCCTGGGTAGAGCCACTCCCCAAATGGCCTCTATACTTCGGGGCATCCTGGAAAGGAGAGTGTGCACCCAGAGAAAGAGTTCTTGATTACTGGATTACCAGGTGAATCCTTACTGAACATCTTTTTCCTAATGGGACCAGAATGCAAACCCCTGGGTAGAGCCCTATCATCTTATTCTTTTCTTCCCACTTAATCAGTCTCTTCCCGGAATTCTTTATCAATAAGTTGCAAGCAGATAAGGCCTATCCTCACGGAGCCCTACAACATTGATGTTCCTAGTGACGTGAAGTGTCTGGCCTACCTGTGTGCTGTGAGTTCCAGTGTGTTCTGCCCACAATGCGCCTGTTCTCCTTCATGCAGGCCTTGCAGACGACGGCCTTCAGGTTATGGAATTTGGTGAGACGAGATCTCTGCAAAAAGACCAGATGCAAACAAGAGCCCGGCTGTGCCTTCTGGCAAGGCGCCCAGGTCACAAAGAGCAAGCTCGGGACATCCCCCCATGGGTGGAAACTGTCTCCAAGGATATTAAATCACTGTAGCTGCACACTTTGTACCCAGACAAGGACAGCTGCACAGTCTTCCTTTAATATTATCACTTCACAAGAGGTTCTTAGAAAACTGGTATTCTCCTGAATCCACTAGAAAAGGAACATCAAGCAGCTTGACGTCCCTGTAGCTTTTGTCTTTTGGAGGTTAAACAATTATTTCTAAAAAACAATCAAGTCCTCTTGTGACAATTTAGATGATTACTACATAATCTCACCTTTAAAAAAATCCATGCATTTAATATATCTTATTACTTCAATTCTTAGTTGTAAAAATGTCAAGGTCACAAAAACAGCAGACTGAGAGTGTAGCATTCAACCTCTTCCTTCTAGCTTGCTGTTATTATACTGAATATTCCGTTCTACATGACTTTTTTTTTTTTAAACCACAAGTGCGAACCTACAATCACTTGCACTTGGTTGAGAGATTAGATACAGAAAGAGAGATCCATGATTAGTGATTTACGTCTGTGGGCCAGTAAGGCTATGTGCACCTTCCATCATTTCTACATCAAATGAGCCAGAGCAGAAGAATGCTTTTCCTCTTACTCTGCTTTTGTTGTCTGTACATAATTTGGGCTGCTTCTAAGTTCTGGATACTCATACCCTGGATTTTTTTTTGGTGAGAAATGGTGATGGAAACACATCAATGTTTTCTCTCTGGTATGAAAGCCTGGAATACTGCCTCCCAACAGACCAGCCCACTCTCTCGGATCACTCCACTTCCCGTGTCCCTGCGGGTATTAAGACACATTCCAAATGAGCTTGGCTTGAGGCCTTATTTGGAAATCTTCCAGGAATCGTGTAGCAATTGTACGTATAAAGCTGGAACAGCTCCCAATGTCCCAACTAAACTGGCAGCTCCTCGGAACATTTTCAAGTGATAAATCGTAACTTCTACCAGATTAGTCTGATGTCTGTGGAGGCACTTCTGCAGGGAGCATTCATTCAAAAAAAGGGAGAGGAGTAAAAGCCCTTGGAAAATTAAATGTGTGTAAGACTCGGTGAGACCCTACTTGCCCTCTGCAAGCAGAAGTCCTATTTAAGTATCTTAGCAGAGCTATTAGGTATGTTGACCCTGAAGCTACTGCTGCAGATCATGTGTTTCTGGCTTTAAGGAATAATGTGATCATTTATTAGGACAACAGTAATGTGAAGAATGTACGGGAAGTCCTAATGTTATTCACGTAAATTTTTAAAGCCTGGGGCCACAGGGGTGCTCCTGATAAGCATGTGTGTTTTTCTAAAGCAGAGCGGCTGCTAGGACAGCTGGCACTACCCTCCTCTCCGAGGCCCAGCCCTGGACTCTGCATTTTCATGATGCTTCGGAGCCACTGATTCCAAAATTATTGTTTCTGAATGTGCAAAACAACTGTGAACTCACATTTTGTTCTAAAAGTTCCTCCACGGTATACCCTTTTTCAGATTGCAGGTACTTCTGGTGAAAAAGCTTCCCATCAAACACATTCCAGGGCATGAAGTCACTTATCCTCCAAGGGCAGCCACAGGCACTGTTGGCCAGAACCAGAGTGGTCAGGCCACGGACGAGCAGGGATCCAAGCTGCACAGCTCTGGAGTTGATGTAATCGAGCTGCAGAGACAGACACACACTGAGGACATGGGTGCAGTGTTAGCTCTGCTCAAACAGACATGGGCTCAGTAACTGGACCACAGGACCAAGCCGAACTCCATGAGATCTATGTGTCCCGAGCCCTGGAAACAAGCTCAGCTGAGGGAAAACAAGGCAGTGCCTCTTCAGTAAGATCCACTCATCTGCTCCAGTGTCAGACACATGCGCAGGCCTGCTCCACATACATGGTGCTTCCTGCCTCCCGGGAACCTCTATGGTCCTCTCATGCATGTCAAAGATGTGGTCTGCTAGGAATGTGCTTGCAAGATCACTCACTTCTATGTTTACTTTTCTCTGAAAAACCCTCTTTAAAGGCCAAGAGGAAGGAACAGAAGACAAGGGTATCATTTTAGACACTAATGAGTTCACCATATTTTAAAAAATCACACTCAATTGTATTAATTATGGGTATTAATTATTTAAAAACATCATTTTAAATATGTACTTATTTAAGAATAAAATGATAGGGCCATTGGGTTGATGAACTGATAATTTTTACAAATTAAGAATATTGTACCAATATAAAATACTTCCTTACACTGTCAAATCTACCTTGACGTCCAACATTCTGACTGTTCTCAAATGAGGAAGCTGACTAGTGTGCTAGAGAGGGCTCCTGCATTCAGTGCCGCTTCTGGGTGCCTGGCCCGTGCTGACCCCCCAGAGTGAAATGACACTAGCAAGCATCCAAGTGACTTTGCCAATGCACTCTGCACAGTGGAGTCAGCTGTGGTGTGGCTCGTCCGTGCTGCTCAGATTAACCAGGAGTTATTTTAAAAGTCATTACATATCTAATATAGTTTATAAAATTGAAATAAATTAGGAAAAGAGTTACAGATGTTTTATCCCCTTTATAGGAAAGTCTTCATTTATTACAATAAAAGAAGCTTCATAATCATTTTAAGAAATTTACCATGAACTGGGATTATCCCAGAGTTAATCTAAGGTTTGATCAAAATATTTCATTCACTTTTAAAAATTAAAATTATACTAAAAAACACTCATTCTTAAGAAAGAGCAACCACTAAACAAGTATGTGGGGCTGAGCTGACTCTGATTGAAAGGACATGTCAGAGAAGACTATTCCCTACGGAAGCTTGCAGGTGGGGGCTCTGCTGCTGGGGCCTTGGCGCATGTCTGCTCTTGTCCCAAGCATCTTGCTAGCATGCTGCTGCCATGTAAGTGCGACATGCCCTATGCTTTTGCATCCGTGCACTTGTTGTGTGGTCTGTCCATGGCAGTAGACAGTGACTGCGTATGATATCAGAATTCAAATCAAGTGAAATTAAGCATTCAGATTCTCACACGCTCTGATTCTCAGTGCTCAGTGGCCACATGTGGCTAAGTGGCCAGGGTCTGCATCAGCACAGAGGTGTGATACTTGGCTCATTACAGAGCACTCTGCTGGACAGCTATACTCTAGCATGCCCTGTTTTCTCCACCTCCAGGGTCCCCCCTCTTTGCAAACTCCAACCACAACGTACCCTACTCAGCCTAGCCCCAGGCCCAGTCCACCCCCAAGGTCTCCACCCTGGCAGACAGCAGGTGCTCGGAGCCTGTCTATAGCACTGTGGGCTCCATGAGGGTGACAGGTCCCTGTCTGTACCTGCAACCCCAGTTCTCAGCTCAGTACATCCTACAATGACTGCTCAGTTGATGTCAAATGAACTAATGGATAATTTGCACTAACATACATATTACGTGTTTTCTCTCAGCATTGGGGGGCAATTCTCTGATTTGGCAGATTTTTCTGTAATTGAATCAATTTCTGTTCATCTCTGTGCTCATGCCTTCTACGCTCGTTCATCTATTTTGATATAATTTTTTTTTAGTTTTACTTTTTAAAATTTTATTTTTTATTGAAACATAATTGATTATTCATATTTGTGGGGTACAAAGTTAAATATCAATACCTGTTGATAATACATAATGATCAGATCAGGATAATTAGTATATTCATCTTTACAAAATGTAGACATTCTTTGTGACCCTTAACCAATCTCTCACTAACTCCCCCTTTCCTAGCTCTAATAACCACAGTTCTGTTCTCTCCTTTTGAAAGTTAAACATATTATTGTGATCTTTCTCTCTCTCTCTCTCTCTCTCCTTCTGATTTATTTATTTTTTAGCTTCCACATATATGTGAATTCATGTGGCATTTCTCCTTCTGTGTCTGGCTTATTTCACTTAACATAATTTTCCCTAAGCTCATCTGTGTTGCTGCAAATGGCAGAATTTCACTCTTTTTTATGGCTGAGTAGTATTCCACTGTGTATATATACCACATTTTTCTTATCCAGTTGGCTTAACATAATTTTCCCTAAGCTCATCTGTGTTGCTGCAAATGGCAGAATTGAATTCTTTTTTATGGCTGAGTAGTATTCCACTGTGTATATATACCACATTTTTCTTATCCAGTT